AAATAATATACCTAAAACTGTGAAAAAAAAAAACAGTCAGCAGCCCCCGCTGACCCCACATCTGCTCACGTTTCTGCCCATCCTGCTATACTCCTGCCTTCATGCTCCGTGTTCGCCTGCCCATGTCACCTGGCCCCTCATGCCATAGTTTGTTTCCCTGCTTTGTTTTGCCTGTCACCCATCTTTCAGCTCAAGCCTGCTCCCTCCATGCCACGCCTCCCTTGTCTCCTCCACAGCAGTCAGCCTTCATTCCATGCACCTGTTCACCTCTCAATTTAAGCTCCATGCTCACTCTCTGTCCCTGCTAAATTATTACACCTCCTATTGTCGCTTATAATAAAGCCATTTCATAGTATCTTGTTTCAAGCCTTGTATCCTTGCTTTGTCTTGACCCCTTGCCTGTACCACGTATTCCCCACCTTGCCTGCCACTCTTTGGATTTGGACTCTTTGCTTTGACCAGGGTACTCGACCCTGCCTTTCTCCTTCGATGACTTCGCCTACGGATCACACGTTGGCTCTGGCTTCTGTGCTCAGCTTTCCGGTGCTTGACCTCTGCTATGACTTCTGGACCACAAATCTGGATCCCACCCTCCCGGACCACGAACAGCTTCAGCCTGCTCCGCTGCTGCAGCTCACTCTACAGAAGCGACGTCACTGGCACCAGTGTGACTACATCACCTGCCACGTACAGACTGAGAAGGTTAGTGACTTTTACTGTAACCCCAGAATCTCCTCACCAAAGTCACTAACCTGTCTGTCTTTTAAGATTGGACTCCCACCTTGGACCCTGACTCCAGCAACCAGCAGCCAAATTAATAAAGACTGTTTGTTTTTTTGCACTCCTGCATCTGGCTTATTAAGAATCCACAACCCGCTCGTTACACATACATACAAACATAGCCTTTACACATACACACATACAACTTTTACACTAAAACAATTGACATAATAAACATACAAAAGCAATTAAACTTCAGGACACAATTTTCTAGAAATTACAGCAACCCACTGTCAAGTTGTTCGATACATTTCAACATTTGGTCAAAAAGATCAGTAGTCATTTGTAGAAGTTCAACCTGTCCATAATAAATACTTGTTTGACTCTTTGTTTCCAGTCAGTTATTGTTGGGGGTTTCAAGTCTTTCCAATTCACTGTGATTAGTTGTTTTTTTCCAACCAATAATAAAATATGTACTATACATATTTGATTTCAATTCCTCTTTTAAAATAACCGCCAATAAATAAAACTGAGGACTTGATGTAACCTCCCTCCACAAAATTTTCTCAAGCTCCACCTTGATATCCCTCCAGTATGTTTGGATAATAGGACAATCCCCCAAATATGTGTACAGTATATGGTATATATATGTGTATATAGTAAATAGGTGTATATGGTATATATAATTTGTGTATATGATATATATAATATGTGTATATAGTATCTATGTGTATATGGCATATATAATATGTGTATATGGTATATATGTGTATATGATATAATAATAATAATAATGAATTTAAATTGTAACGCACTTTTCATTAACCAAAATCTCAAAGTGCTACAGAGTGCAACTATAATATATAATATGTGTATATGGTATATATAATATGTGTATAAAGTATATATAATATGTGTATATGGTATGTATAATATGTGTATATGGTATATATAATATGTGTATATGGTATGTAAAACATGTGTATATGGTATATATATGTGTATATGGTATTATAATATGTGTATATGGTATATATAATATGCATTTATACTATGTATAATGTGTATATGGTCACCTATTTTCCCACATTTTCTCCAGCAGTGTGCAGTTGAGTGAACCTTTACAAAATAAAATATTTTAAAAAGGGTGTGAAAATCCCTAATTTTCCAAATAAAATGAGAACATTAAGAATAGAGTGCACACTAAAAGTACAATACTTTCATTTGTTTCAAATGGCAGCATGATGTTGTGCAATACAGGCGAGCAAATTCATAATTCAGATGTTTGATTGCAATTTATTTTCCCACAACAACTAGAATAAACTTTCCTTACTTGTCTTAGAAGTGCTGATAACATGATCCATGATATTTCCCAATCTTTGTGTCTCCTTCACACTGGCACCAACCACTTTTCAACTCCATATCATTTGATAGTGAGCATCAAATAATAATGTTATGGTTTAGTTATGTTAATTAATTATGACAACTGCGGGATCATCACATGTGGAATTATATTGTTTAAATCTTTTGAAATAGTGTTTCAGTGTGGCTAAAGGAGTGGTTCAAAAAGTTGGTGTTCAGATCACCTTAAGGGACACAAAAAATAGTTTGGGTTCTTGAGATGATTTCCATGAATCAAAAAAAAATAAAAAAATTCTTCATTGCATTTTTGTTCGATACTTGTTATGGAGGTCAAATATGATGTTATTAGTCAGTATAAATAGTGTAATTAAGTTATTATAATTCTTGTTTAATTGGCCTAATTGCATATTTTAACCAAACATAAATGGTATCAAAGGTTTGGCCATCATTATTTTGTAGGTTGGAACCTAAAAAGTTTGGAAACCAATGCACTAAACTGGGAAGAGTAAAAAAAGATTAGTAATTCAAATATGGACTTTGAAACAAGTAACCAGAAGAGAAAAAAAACTACCGGTAATGGATTTTTTTTCTCCTATAAACACAAAGATGCTGCCTTTTATTTAGAAAACTGCTTTAAAATTAAAACAAACCATCTACTGTCGTAACAGGAATATTAATATTTGGTCACACTGACTTTTCTGCTCATCTTGTCTGTGATCAATGTGTGCTTGAAGGGTAGGACCAGGTCAAAGTCCACGTGCATTCATTGCTTGGAAGAGGCGGGTTCTGTCTGCAGCCTGTCCTGCTGATCACATGCAGAAAGCATGGTGCTTGCACACACACACACACACACACACACACACAACTTCTTCTTTGCGCAACAAGCAGGACACAGAAGTCATCTGCTCGTGTCATGTTTAACACCAGGCACACATGGGTGTTGTATCCTAAATTGTATCCTCTCCAAACTGCTGTCAAGCCGCTCTTTTATCAGGCAGAGTGGAGAGCTGCATGTTATTGTGTGAATTAAAAGAGTTCTTTCATCAGCTCCACTCACATATGCAGCCCACTCCTCCCACAGGGTGGTGAAGATCATGATGATGAAGATGATGATAGTGATTTAAAAAAAAAAGAAAATAATGAACAGACTGCTGATTATCCCTGCTTGAATTCTTGAGGGTTATCGCCGGTGGAAGCCTGCAGACTGTTCTGTGAAGGCACTGAAGGAATTTGCAGTGAATATTTCATGCACCTCTGCAGCTTTTGACTGAGTTAGTAGACGCAGAGATCAAATCAGATGGAGGCAACTGCAAGTTTGCGGTCAAACGTAATTAACCTCAACCACCGAGAATATTATTAAGCGCAATCTGATGCAATATCGCGTGTGATCTTTCATAATTATGAGCATTTAGGGAATGCGTTGTAAATGACTGTCAGCTACTACCACACCAAAGTTCAACTCAATATCTGTAAAATGTAATGAGGCACAGCCATTTTTGGGTTTGCTAATGTCAGTGAGTTGTGGCAGCCATCTTGGGTTGTCTCCAAAAATTAATTTGTTTTAGATATATACGTTACTTTCGGAGTTTCACCGATATCTGTCCAGTGTGCAGTGAAATGTGTTGCCAACAAACAGGTTGGCATATGCATATGCAACAGCATATTTTATTTTATCAGGTTGCTGTGGCAACAATTTGGATTGGACTGAGTCTAAAAGTTATACCACTGTAGATGTCAAGTTAAAAAATTACTTTTCAAAAGATTCAATATAGCTTTTAGCATTCAAGCATTGGGTTAATGTCAGGACTGACTCTGGACTGGGTGGACAGTGGATGGCTTCCATGAATTAGCCACAGATATTTTACTAACAGAGGTAATACCAATAGTTAGTGTCAAAGTTGTGAACACAAATCCTACACAAACAGCAGCTTGATTCCATCTTCAGCTACTACCAACACCACTTAAAGTGCTTCACAGTTCAAACGTTAGAACAAACAATAAGAACAATACAAAAATGGCAGAGCACAGCTACTGTAGGTATTAAAAGCCTGCCTGAAGAAAAATATTTCATGATTAGATTTTAAAAGGGCCAGATCAGTGATGGAGTGCAAGTCATGAGGAAGTTGGTCCCACAGTCTGGGTGTGGCGACTAAAAAAGGCCCAGTCACCCCACTGTTTGTATTTGGACTTTAGGACTTACAGTAAAGATGTCGACCTCAAGATCCTCTCATATTCATGGAATACTACTAAATCAGCTAAATAAGAATAAATATGGGAGATTCCAACATACAGAACATTACAGTTGTCAAACCTTGAGCTGATAAAAACATGAATGGTCCAGGTCAGGATGATCTAAAAAAAAAAAAAGGTTTGATCTCTTTTAAAAGACGTAACTGGGGGAGAGAGAAAAAACAAAAAACTGACCTTATCTAGAGGCTATTTGTTCATAAAACTTTAAATCCTTGTCAAAAGTTTTTTATATTAACGCATGCGTTTGATGACAGTTTTATCACAATTAATCCAGGGATTGAGATATTTTGCTTACAGTCAAAGCAAACACTGAGACACACTCAAATTGGGAAAAAAAATTTGCCCTTTTGGATTTAGAAGCAGATGATAAACACGCACTTGTTGTAATGTAAGCTATATTTTGGATTGTTGCAATACATGGCCGGTATTATCACAACATGCCATACTTTTATATAAATTAAATTTAAACACAAAATCTGGTTGTACAATATCAAATTCCACGTTTAAAACCCGCATCTTGCATGCCCTTTCTGGCCTGCATCTATTCTTCGGCTATTGACAAGCTCTCCCTTTCCAGGCTGCATGGCTGGGAGTTTCTCACCAGCGCCCCTAGTGGACAATCAAACCAAACACACCCACCTCCAGACACACTCGCATTTCTCATTTCATACTTCTGCTCTAAATTAGACAGCACGACGTATAGTGTCGGCGCTCCACGGTTCAGCAGGACAATTAGTTGAAGTGTTAGCTGTAGTTGGGGGGGGAAAAAAACCCAAACAAAAACAAAACAGTGAATCCTGAAATTCAACATGGAGTCCCCTCCAGATCCAGCGAGCGACCCGGGCAACAGCGCCTCGGAGCCGGCTACCCCCGTCAGGGAAACCCCGGTAAACCTGGAGACGCTCCGGAAAGCGGACCATCCGGCGGCGCCGGTTCGGAAGCAGACCTGCTCGAGCACCAACAGAGGTAAGAAGGCAGCGTTTGGGGTTTTAAAGGCTGTGGAAGACGAAAGCAATCGAGGAATTAAAAAAAAAAAATCTAAATATGAATCAAATTTCAACCTCATATAAAAAAATAACTGTCTAAATCCTCTCCGGCTGCACTTCTAGTTCGGTTGTAGCTCATTATTGCTTTGGTGTGTGTGTGTGTGTGTGTGTGTGTGTCACCCTCTCTGTATGAGTGTGTGTGCTGCCACTGACAGCTAAAATCATGGGGGGGTTGATACGGTCACAGATGTCACATTTACTCCTGACTGCAGGATTATTCAATTATCCAGGAGTTGGGAATGTCGCTGCTCGCTCCAGTCCAGCGCCACATTCTGTCAAAGTGTCCGAAGAAGTGAACTTTAGGAAACTGGGCTCGATCAGCTGCTTGCCTGGATCTCTTGTTTTTATTATTATTTTTTTTTTTTTTAAATCTCACAGATTGGGGGAAAAAAAATACGATTTTGTTTATTTCCTGCAACAAAACAAAAACAATTTGGAGCTCTTTTGCATGCACTGTGCAGAGAGAGTAAAACTAAACGCATGCAAAGTATGCATGCATGACTGCAACATGCCCCCCCCCCCCCCCCCC